GTCGGCGCTCTAGAGCTTCTGCTGACTCGTACGAGCGACCCGTCAACGTGCCAACATTTAACGTCGCAACGCGAATCTTCCGTGCGTTGCAGGACTTTTGGACTAGCTTAGTTGCCCCCCGACGCCGTCCTTGCGTCGGAGACCCTCGCATACTTTTCACACTCGCCGGGCTTTGCGAGTGCGCGTCGGCTCCCGCGGACGCCGTAGCATTATCTCGGAAATCATATGACGACATTAACATTGTGATGTGACGTGGGTGTTCGTAGGCCGGCCTGTCACGGGGGCCTGTCGCCTGCATTCGAATGTCCGCGATCAGCTCAGCTCACAAAAGTGAGCAGTTTCCAGTGGCACCACTTGGAGGAACGGACCCCACCACCCGAAAGGATTTCATCGATAATGCCTACTATTTAAAGGCTTAGTCTGTCCCAACCTGGTCATCAGTTTCATCCCACCAATGACGCCAGATGAGTCGGTATTACCTGCATTGTCCGGGTCAAGTCTTATGCGTGAGGCATGCGCCAGAAAGTACAAAATACATTTCACCTGGGAGTGAGCTCCGCTACAGCGGGGCGGACCCCGCCGAACTGGGCATGGCCGACGACAAAGCTTCGAGTTTTGGTAATAGAACACCCTGAAGACCGAGAGAAATGAGTAAAGGCGTGCACTGTGTTGCCAATTTGAGTTGGAGATTTTGCCCGTGGTGAGCGGGGCGTTCTCGAAATGGCCGGTCGCCTAACAATATCATAACTCTAATTGGAGAAGATCGCTATGGGCAGATTAGAATCTATCCGAGAAGCTCGCAGCTTCTACCTTACGGTGTCTCCAAGCATGGTTCAATGAGCCGACTGCCCGCTCAACCAAATGAGCAAGCATCTTTCTTGAATGAGCAGTGTTCATTACGCTCTCATCCCTCATAATTGCAAAAATGTTAGAACGGAGAAAAGTGGATACAGATGAGAAGGAGCGCATTTTTGCAAATGTGAGCCCAGTGTGCGTGACTTGCACCAAAGAGATGGGACTTCGCAAACAAGCTTATGAACTTTACTCAAGAGTCCGGAAGACCGGGCAAGATAGCGGTGAAGCTGTGTGCCTCACCTAACGATAAGCACGTTACTGACATAACTGAGCTTTGCTAGCAACTTTGAAATGTAAACTTCCTAAGTTCTTCCTGGTTTTTACACAAACAACTCTGTGATCACTCGGCAATGATGAGAATGTCGAATTTACCTTCAATTTGGTAGTAGCAGTCGAGATTATTGTAGTATTGGGTCGGGAAGCCAGGGCTAGTGATGGTTCCAGAACGAATATTCGGACCACCGAAGTTGCCATCATTGCATCTGAAATATTTACCTTATTAAACTTTTCGATCGAAATCGTCCATCTGTGACCAAAATTGTAGTTCCTTGAAAAGGAGGCTCCTAAAAAGGAATTTCATATTTCGTTAAAATTGCCACCGATTTCTCCTGTGCTCTTATCTTTTGAACTGGAGTAATAACAAAAAATTTCAATGAGCGAAAAGTCCAGAGGAGTGTAGAACGTAGAGATTTGTGACCCCTTGGAGATTTGTTGAGAATCGCTCATAAATGGATCAGATATCTTCTTTGAATGTCACCCTCTGAGAGAAATTCTGCAGTTCCTACAGCTTGGGCTTCATTTTGCACAGTGCCGGTTGCTGATTGTAGCACGGACAGGAGGCCATACCAGGAGAGGAGCCAGCACGCAGTGTGGCGCAATCGCCATAGATAGATGGTTCACCTGAAATGTTTCGCCGTGATCATGTTGCGTATTTATGATTTTTGGTAGGAGGAGGTCGTACAAACTGGAATTGGACTATGCCTACGGGAGTCTTGGGAAAGGAATTTTTGAGTGGAAAAATTTTATACAATTGAGGGAAATTTCAAAATCTAAAATTATTGTCAATTTTATGTCTATCGCTAAAATCGCTATAGTTGATCATGGCACCGTTTCTGGTCACTTGTTATATTACTTTGTCCTTGTTATAATATTAGGTCGTGAAGAAAGTCTAGCGCTTTTTAGTGTTTCGTTTTTGAACGCTTTATTTCGTTACGAATTCAAGCAAGCCGCCAATGAGCTGTATGTGGTTTTGAAGAGCTTTCTCTTGTTCTATCTAACAGCTAGGCTAGCTATGTTTCTTATCATTTAGTTGTCATTTTTTGAAGCCTTGAATACGGCATACTCCAAGAGCAAATTTGCATGATTTCCTTTTTCTAGCTCAAAGCAGGCCAGTATGGAGAGGAAGCAGGTCAAGATATTATAGACGCACTTGGCTGAGATTCGCAATAAATATGGTCTGAAGCAATTGTTCAAAAAGCTTTTGTAAGAATAGCGAGAGCCCTAAAATTGTGAGGGTGGTGATCGGAGATTGGACAACGCCAACGATTAGTCGAACGTTCTGGTTGAAGCACGTTTGCACAAATCTATTGAGAGGGTTCCTCCTAAACTAATCGCACTTGCATTGTGTTTTCTTGTTGTACGGGAAGAGCTGGAAAGTCCCAAAAATTCAAATAGGGCGTGCCGCGACAGCTCACCATTTTGAAGGGTCGTTCGCCGCGTTCTAGCTTGTTTCATGCCATGAAAACGACCTGACTTTTTGATCATTTGCGACGCACGACAAAGAAACGGATTCTTTGCTACAGAATACGAACCTTTGGTGAAGTGATCGACCGCGATCAGGCTCTACAAACTTTGCAAAAGTGAAACTTCACTGAAGGAAGGTTGAGGTGACTTTCATAAGGTCAGCGGCTGGTCTAGCTTTTCGTAACCAGGTGGATCTGTTAATGTGGAAAAAGTACTCCTGATAATGTGTAAAATTACTCCTAGAACTCTGGCACATATGCTCGAAATTCCTCATTATAAAAGGAACCGGCTCGTCCCTGACAGGTAGCTCGGACGCACATTCCACAACCAACCCTGCAGAAGTTGGACAAGATTGGCTACGAATTAGTCCTGCGAACATCCTACTCGGTAGACCTTTGCCTATAATTTGTCACTTTCTCGACTACCTGGATAGCTTCTCCAAAGAGTTATGCTTCAAAAACCAACATGATGCGGAAACGACCTCCGCCGGGTTCATCGTCTCTAGAGCTCCAGTATTCTGCACTACCGGGCTGATTCAACGCAGCTATTATTGGCAGAGGTTTGTGGATTCTAACAGTCTTTACTCCAATCAAAAAGGTTTCGAATGAGCCGAGATACAGGCATTTGAAAATCAAGGTCCAAAAGCGCAAGAACTTTCTTCACGACCTAATATTTAGTGAATAGGGAATCGTGATCAGGTAAAAATCAGGGTGGGGTAATGACGGGCGACTCTTGCTCACCAAAGTTCTCTTTGATCAAACTCATTAATTATTTATTTATTCATTTATTGCGCGCTTAGGTGCGCTACAAAATGTGTTCAAAATTCGTCAGTCAGTGTTCAGAAGTCAAGGGGCGGATAGCGCTAGGGATAATGCCACTCTCAACGGCAGAAGGCATACGCATGAAATGAACTGAAAAGCTCACACAGGCAATACAAGCAAGTATAATTTTGGGACATCGGCTAAGTGGCCTTTTACACAAGAAAAAATTAAAATTATTAGAAAAAAACTCTCGTGAGGAAAGTCATTAAAACGAATTTCAATAGTTTCATGTCTTCGGGGCTTTCGGGAATGCCAAAAGCTTTGTTAAATTATGCTAGGAGATTGACATGTATACGTGCTGTAGCCTTTGAGGGTTGCGAGACGGAAGATCGCGTCGTCCTACTGTCCCTCCACAAAGAAGGATTCAGGAATCATCACCAATCCCTTCAACCAGCTTTTTGCTAATCCAAGGCTCCCAAAATTTCCCAAAATCTCACAAATTCAATGTTTTAGAGGAAGTCCCCATTGTGAAAGTTGTTAAGTTGATGAAATTTCCTATGAGCAAAATCACGGGATTTTTTCTGTTAGTTTTTCTCACAGGGTTTTTTCTAGTAATTTTTTTTTGTAAAAGGGCCATAGCCGATGTCCTGGAATTATAGTTCCACCTCATGTTTTTCTATTACTTTTCACTTCTGTTCCACGAAACTTTTTTATTGTGGTAACACTTCACTTCTTAAGGGAACAGCATAATAAAAACTGCTGTTGGATTTTGAGAAAGGGGATGTCGCAAAAACTGTTGAACAACGCAATCGCGCCAGATTTGGTCCAGATTCACGCCAAGCTCAAGAATTTCTTCAGGTTTCACATGATATTGTGTTCAGGAGGCAATAAGAAAAATTTTCATAAAAATAAAGGTCATGCCACTAGAGAAACATTCACTTTCACCAAGCTGTGCAATGCGGTTAGATGTTCTTCGAAACTTGGCGACTCGCAGACTAATGTTTCGTGTTTGTGGAAGGATCGCTTATTTTTGTGGAAAATGTGGAAGAAGTCATTTGTGTAGGAACCCATGGCCAAATAGTGCCCATTTATGCATGAAGATTTAGCAGAGCCGAGTGAAACGGCCTGGCGTTGCTTGCTACGCAGTCGAGTTGTCTGCCTTTCTGTTCGCCTTGTTTTTCTCCTTGTAGTATTCTGCGAAGGTAAAAGGCAAAGCGAATAAAAACATGTGGAGAGTGGTGGAATTAGGTGTAATTATGGAAATTATTTGGAATTATTAGGAATCCGTGAGGCGGAATTATGATACTGGAACATCATTAAGTGACCTTTTACACAAAACTCATTAGAAAAAAGTCCTGTGATCTCTAGTTGACAGTTGATGTTCACAGGGAATTATATTCAATAATACATTGTCACATTGAAGGCGTTCTATGTAAAACGTCAAAAACTATAAGATTTTGCGTGATTCTCAGGTAATTTTATGATAATAAGGCACATTATAGTCTGTAAAAGCAGGAAGTAGTGTATGTGGAAGTGGCTGCGCTACCACTCGATGTAGCGGTCGCGAGGATTTAATCCTGTCGTTGATGTCGCCCATGGCCAATCCAATGCTCCATCTCTCCGGGGGGGGCGGTTGTGTGGTACTCAGATCTTTGTCAGGGGGAAAAAAACACTGCTGAACATTCGGCCGGATCCCCCCGCAGTCATTTGGCCAGTAGGCACTATCGGCATCAAACGTCACTACGCAATGTACAAAATGGTTGTCCGCATTCGCAAAAATGTGGGACTGATCACACAGCAAAATTGCATTTTGTCCTTATCCATTTATTATAGTCTGTGTGCCTAGCCTCAAGTATGTAGATAGGAAACTCATCTCTCGCCCAGAAGGTGCTCGCCACACCTTCCTCCAGCATTCCATCTCCAAGTACCTATTAGAGACTCGAACCGCTCCTACCCACCCGATGGCGAAGATGGCCCCCTTGGTAGCTCTGACAATTATTGAATCCTAATACAGTATCTGCTCAGTCGTCCTCGCCAGTTCTTAGAGGAGGGGGCAAGTCAAAACAGAACAGGTTGTGATTTTCTATGAATTGTCCTTGGAAAAAAATAACTGTATCCTATCCTTTCCGTCTACAATAAACTCTACTCCAACGTTGCCACGACACGGACAATTCATTTATTGCCAAAAATATCGAAGAACTGTGGATAGAAATAGTGGACTCATTCGAGCATAACACACTTCAAAGAAGTCTGTTGCTTTTTAATGCATTTGAGACTCAGCAGTATAATCCATTTGCTATACTCACAGGCGAAGACTTAGCAAAAATCCAGTTTTCATCTGTGAAAACTGCCTCATAGGCAAGGTTGCGCATATGTGTTCGGCTCCAAACGCTTCTTCTCGTTACAGAATAGAGATACTCCCATCCATGCTGTTTCTATCAGATTGAAATCACGTTATTAGCTAATTAACTACAAAAGGGTCATTGATCAAAATGGCCGTATGTAATGAGACCTACACCGGATGCGATTTTGGACGCTGATCTCGAATCTGCTTTCGAAATCTGCCAAACCTGATTTCTGTCGAGCCTATCGAAAGCAAAGTTGAGAAGCGTTAGTAGTCCAGGTTTCACATGCGAGACGTCGTTGGATCAATTCCTGGCGGGTTCCGTTTTTTGCCTTCGCTGCAACATGGTTGATAAAGACTGCCAACCACCTTATTTGATCATGGTTGCCTATAGCTACCCGTGCAAAGAGTAGCTTTGCATGGAGTTTTCTACAAGTTTTGTGGCGATATCCTCATTGAATAAGACCTGCACATTCGCGAGCGCCATCACACTCATGGCAGACGTTTTTCGAAGTCATACAGTGTTTTGTGAGTACTCTCAGCCTTACTCGTGTTCCGCAGATACAACCACCCCTAGGGGGAAATTTGGGGCCAAATGTGAGACTTCGACCAAATTTCAAAAAAGGTGGGCATCTATCCATCCAGCCACCAACCTATCATCGAAGCCTACACAGCTTTGAGACGATATAAGCTTTTTCTATATCTGAAGAGTGTAAATAGTGCCTGGTTTCCGTTCGCATTTGATTGTCAAACACCCGATGGTATTATTTTTTGAAGATTTAGAAGGTCAACACGCGTCCGAGGATGGTCACAATCCCTGGAACCTGCCGGCCATTGCGATATGTAACATTCAATTGACTTTACCCACTTTTTTTCTGAGTTTCCATGTTCAAAATGCGGTACATTTCCTTAGCCAATTGGTCCCAGATATTTAACCTGGACCTTCTTGGTCACAGAAAAAACGCACATTTCCTTTGCTAGACAAAACGCGCGAAGCGCATACTGTCGGATTACTCACGCCTTACGCTAGCCTTACTCTACAGGCATGCAATGCGGGAAAATTTCGGGGTTATCAACCTCAAACTCACCTATAAGCAAGTAGGGTTGACGAACGATGAAGGAATAACCTTTCACTACTGCCAAGATGGTCAGTCACAAAAATGCAAAGGAACTAAAGGTGCAAGTTTATCCGAATCACTGACCTCGAAATCCCAAACCCGCCGCTCTAACCACTAGGCCACCAGCACCCACCTTCTGATCCACGATACTTCATTCAAACACCGCTACTGCTGAGGCCGATTCCTCACTGTGTTAAACTGTGTGAACAAAAAAAACCTCCGTAACTCCGTTCAGCGAATCGTTTGGCAGATTTGGGAAGAAGATTCGAGATCAGCGTCCGAAACCACATACCATGATATTTGTCTCATTTCATATGGCCACTTCGACCCTTCATCCTTCCCTGGTAAGATATGTTCGTGCACTTTTACACATGCAGACCTGAATATGTACTGACCCACTTTTCCACTGATAGGTTGTTCAACAAAAAATATTCATATGAATGTAAAAATATATGAACTCACTCAAAAGTGCCGTCATCTCTGCCTGTAGCACCAGAGACGCCAACTGAGCCCCTTGCGTACCACAATAAGAACCAGCATCAGCGGCTGAGTACAGCTTAGAGCTGATCTGATAGCAGTAGGATGTCTCGGTAACAAATTGAAAACCGTTCGGACACTTATCGGCTGCACTAACTAAAAATATCGATATCGATTCGGTAGTACGAATATGGAATTGAAAAGAGAAATATTTGAATGGAGTTTGAATTTAAAGGATGAACAGAATTGCGCCCTTCCCTGTGGTGTGCTCTCTCGCGTTCTTTTTATGGTGCCACTGTTTCCACGTCGTAACACTGTCGATGTTATGTGTTATACTTTGGTATATACAGAGAGCATGATAAAAAACATTTCGTCAACCTTTTTAAATGGATTGAATCACACTTCGCTAAATTCAGGCCGAATTTATAATAGGTTAGAACTGAAGAACATATTCCGTTCTTTGAAGAAATTCCATAGTAGCCTTTCACGGGGACGCCAACAGAAAAATTTGTCGCGGAAACATGGCTCAAAATTGGCTGAACAGATTTATTGGTTCTCATCGGGGTCTTGGAAGGATTGTGTACCATCACGACGTTCTGAAACACTAGTTGGAAGGGGGTTTGCATAGTCATAACTAATATCTTTAGGGAACTATCCACCAGTGAATCGATTCAACAAAGTCTGCAGCAGTCTCAGACTAGAGCGTTACGGTAGTTACCTTAGGCTCTCCTTGAGCTCGTTGGCATTGGCATATGGCATTATATTCCTAAGACGGTGAGGGCACCGGAGAAGTACTCGCGTCTGCTTAGAGTGGGATATTTTTTAGGAGTATTCTGCTGGGAGTTTTTGCCAAGGACGACAACTTCTGCCACGAGGAAGACGCTGAAGTGCTAGAGGGGCCAAAATGTCTTTTTTTTCATTCGCCGCTATGCATACATACATATCCATATTCTTTCATCAGTAACGGTCCTCTTCACAGCTTTAATTTCGCGTTCGTATGCCATAGCCACATTAACTTGATTAACTTAATCCTACCCGAAAAATTCTTGCATTACCTAAATACGTCAGTTGTGATCACTGGAGGCAACACACAAAGTTTCACGCATGAAGATTCAGTTTCCGAAGAGAAACAAACTTACGAAAACCACACTATGGACAATCGAAGGTAAGGTCGGCGCGGAGCCAAAGGCGGGGCATGGAAAGAAGTCCGCCTTGGGGCGGCTACGTATCAGGCGACGCAATGAAAGAATCGGGTTAAAGCGTGCGATTTTGGAGAGTAGAGACAAATCGATCGATAGAATAGGATGCAGTAGAAGTGTGAGATGTTATGTAAGTCAAAAGGTCAAAAAGAGTTTCTAGTGACGGCACTCCAGAGAACCAAGTGGAAGCGCTCCTTGCTCCTGCATTTATGACAGATTCAGAGTTGGAAAGCGTGACAGTCCTTCCGTTTTAACGAATTCTCTACCGGAACGACGGCATTTTTCGTTTTTTCGTTCTTATCGTGGACGATGATTCCCTGCCAGTGATTTATGTGTGAGATAGAACCATGATTTCTCTGGAGAGGGTTCTTTTATCTTCGATATGCCTTCAGCTACCTTCCAGATCAATCCTCCAAGAATTCTACGCCAACATTGAGCGAATTCTAGTTTTCTTTTGGAAAAAATGCTCTACTGAAAAAGGAATATTTTGGAACGTGGACATGAAACTGATTTTAATTCGGTTATCTAAGTCAAAGTTAAAAGTCTCAAAAGCTAGTACTCAGAAATCAGAACCGCAATCTCAGTCGACCCTTTTCGAGCTAATTAAGCTGAGGGGAAGGTGTTGCCTCTTATGTGCATCATAAAACAGTTACCCAACATACAAAGACTGTACTCTTGTCGAAGGATTTTATGGCCATCATTATCGAAGGTGAAATTTATTCAAGAGAACGACAGAAAGGTACTACGATGGAGAAAAAGGAGTGATTCGATTGGTTCTGGCAATAACAAACGACATGCCTCACCATCCGAAATCATTCATGATTCAAACCATAAAAAACTTTACCGCGTGCAAATTCGTTCACCAGTAGCAAAAAGAAGCCAACAAGGCGCATCGCTCGGCTGTTAGTGATAGCTTATCACCAAACAGCTTTCATGCAAAATATGA